ACCGAAACCAATTTTCAAAGAAACTGCTACATGATTTATCTTTTCTGAAACAGAAACAATATGACTATCTGTCTGCCAAACCTGATTGTCGCGAGAGACATTTGTACACTTTGCCTAAAATCCATAAGAATCTAACCAAGGAGTGGTTTATCTCGAATAAAATCCCTAAATGCCGATTATATCTGACTTTGGTAGTGAGTCGTATGCAGTGTCAGAATACATTGATCAGTTCTTACTACCTCTAGCATGTCAACATCGCGCCTACCTTAAAGACACAACATATTTTGTCAATAAGATAAAAAATCTTCGAGTTCTAATGCTATTTTAATTTCAATCGACGTTTCTTTTATGTATACCAATATAGATTACACTACTGGTGTACAAACTTCAGGGACAGCAATGGGCAAACGATTCGCTCCTTCGTACGTAAAAAACCTTTTCATAGCAGAGTGGGAACGTGAGGTGTTGACCCTCTGTCAATTTGACCCACTTTTTTACGGACGCTTATTGGATAATATTTTTATGGTTTGGACTTATTCTATCGAACAGTTTTGGAAATTCTTTGAAATTGTCAACAACCACCATCCTTCTATTAAACTAACCGCAAACGTGAGTGACAAAAGCATAGACTTTCTCGATACCACTGTCTTTAAGGGAGATTTCATAGCAGAAACAAATAAACTGGATATTAAAGTGTATTTCAAAGAAACTGATACTCATCAACTCTTTTTCACCCAAAACATACCCTTTCTGGTATAATTAAGTCACAAGTTTTACGATTTCATCGAATTTGTACAAGATCTTCTGATTTCAACCAAGCCTGTACGATTGTTTTCTCAAAACTGAAAGAGCGTGGGTACTCTAAACAATTTTTACGAAACATAAAAAATTCCACCTTAGCCCAGATAACAGCTAAAAACAGACTTTATGCCGAAGTACCTCCAGGTTTAAGAAGTGCTCCATGTTTGTCCAGTAGATGCAAAACATGTCCCTTTATGTCAGAAACTCATTATTTTGTAAGCAACTTTACGAATAAAAGGTACCCGATCCAGGAACATCTAACATGTGAACATTCTAATGTAATATATTTAATTTCATGCAAGAAATGCCCAAAACAATATGTAGGAGAAACTAAGAATAATTTACGAACTCGTTTTAATGCTCATAGATCGGACATTAAATTAAAGAAAGACAAGCCTGTTTCTAATCATTTTAACCTCGACGACCATTCAATAGACGATCTCACCCTAATCCCAATTGAGCGCATAGAAATTGACTTGCCCGAAGATGAAACTACCAAATTACGTCAATCTAGGGAAGCCCATTGAATTGAGACATTGAATACAGCAAGACCTATAGGACTAAATATTCACCATAATGTAGGCATAGCACCCTTTGTTGTCCGTTCAATAATGTCTATAAGCAGAAAATGATAGTTGCATATTCAAAAAATAAGAACTAAGTAATAAGTAAACTAAAAACAATCAGTACATAACAGATACTATACTTCTCGACCACCGGGTGAGTTATTTTTTTCTAATTACAGATAAGAATAAGAACAGAAGAAAACCCAATATCAAGACCCTTAATCCTAATTTCTAAATAAAGTGTCTGCTCCACCCTAGGCCGTACATTTGGGAGAATTAAAACCTCCCTTCCCTGAAAACCAAAATTATGTCGAACCTCGTGATTAACAATTAGTACTAACCGTTTTAAATTAACCCTTTTTAAAACAAATCTAGTTTGATCAAGAAGATACATGGCTATATTTAGCATACTTTAGAAATATTTTCGGGTATAATTTATGATGTTTTTGATAATGAATTCCTTTTACAAAATACCGAAAAACCACTTTAACGCCATTGGACACTACCAGGATTAAGTTGTCTACACCATCACACCCTGTGCTTACACTGATTTTTATTTAAAATCAAAGCTTCCAGTGGGCGTATATTACCTTGCCTGGCAAGCAATCTTAGACTTATTCAAAACAAACGCCAAGGCTCGGCGATCTATTCTGGGCAGCATTGAAAACGCCTTGGGTTCGAGAAGGTCGTTAGTTGTAACATCCCCTTGAGCTGAATAAAAGCGCAATCCACGTGTAGCAAAGACGCTGCAAAACGCAATATGGTCGCAAAAGTCGTGGTATGAGGTATGCTTATGTTTCTTCAGTTTATAATTTTCTAGGGACTTTTTTTTTAGTTTTCCTCATGTTTGACTGCGACTAGTACATTTCTAATACTAGTAGAGTACAAACTCCAAAAAGTTTCCTTAAGGAAAGCTCGATGTTAGTGGTAGTAAGAAGTGATCGATGTATTCTGACACTGCTTATGACTTACTACCACAGTCCGATATATTAGGACAACCTTTAGGGATCGGGTGAGGGGTAGACCGCTTCTTGACAGGATTCTTGTCTTATGGATCCTAAGTAAAGAATATAAATGTCTCTGGCGACGATCAGGGTTGGCACATAGGTAGTCATATTGACATTGATAAAGATAGCCTGTTTTGACTTGGAGCGTCAAGCCTTGAACCTGAAACACGATACAATAATATATTGTTATCAAAACATAATCCTAAAGTTTACGCTACTTTGCAAAAGCCTATTTCAAAGAAACTATCGACCGACAGGTTCAAGACACCCCTTCTTCTCGTGCGTGATAGATAGGTTATGGTGTTGTTCACGAACGGTCTTGTCATGAGTTTCATCGACCGACACGGGCACACGAAAAGACAAAAAGCTCCAGTCGGTCGTTTTCCAACATGTCGATGATCATGTGTGGACGTGGGAAATAATAGGAAAATGAATCTGATTGGATGATGGCGGTCTGTCTTGCAGACGATACAACTATCGGAGACAATTATCAAACTTTGCCAACCAAGACATGTGACCGCACCTTAAGAATTTTTAAAATAAATTGGCCATATTTATACCTTCAAAATTTTTGGTAGTGTATAATCCAAAGATCGAAGATAGCAGACCTGTATAATTGGAAGATCGCAGACCCCAACTAGAATCCACAGACCCCCTATGCTATATTCAGCAGACCTTAACTAGATTCCGGACAGACCCAAATGGAATCCGAAACCGAAAGCTGGAAATCGATTATATAGAGAGTAGGCTAATGCCACTATCCTGCTGAATTTCCCTCCGCTGCGTTGGCGTTTCCCGTCTTCATTCAAAACATTTTTTCCACAATTAGTTCTACTTTTCACAATGGACAATTTAGATTCAGCGTAAGATATTCTTTTATAATATTGACAGAAAATGGTAACATTAGCCTATAATGTTCTCAATAGGGGTTTTGTTTCTAGAAAATGAATCGAAAATTATAATGTTATTATGACTCGATAGATCATAATTAAAGTAATTACCCTACATTTATTATTATGCATATAAGCCAACGTTTCGCAAGTTATATTATATATAGAGACCAAGCCATTAGTTGTTTTTGATACTTATATTTAATAGCAGTATAATTTGGCTGAAATTTTGGGATTCATTTTGCAGCTGTTGAAATGGTTCATTTTAATCAAATGAACTTGGAGTGGAAAATAAATATGATAAATTTGCATAATTTATATATGATAATAATTTTGTTGACTACGGGCCATTGTGTTAATTAGATCTTGTCTTTTTGAAATGATTATTTTAATGATATTTAGGTTCAAAATTAGTTTAATGATGACCTGTATGCCCTAAATAAAAATTTGGTTTTAAGATTCAACTACTTTTTCCATTTTTGACTGTGTATTCATGCGTCCTCAAACGAAGAGAAAATGGTGCAGCGCTAATTACGCTCGACTTGTAACACATCGTGTGTGGGTGAAGTTTATAGTGTATTTGGCCATTCATGGTGTGTGCGTAAATTCTCTTCGTGTGAGGGTGCCTTTAATTTAATGTATCGTGTTTTTGTAATGTTGAATATCTGAACATTCGTTTTGGAAGCGGTGATCTGGTCGCAGGTATCTTTTTTATCCGAAAGCCATATAATATGTGCTCCTTTTAGATCCACAAACACTATTATGAAACCACATTGGCACGCACAGTAATAACAGTAGAATTATTTATTGAAACTATTACGTTGAGTCAGTGAATATTTAGCATTGAATTGCAGAATTTAATACTGATAGCCTATACTCAGATCGGTTTCAAATAAAGGCCAATATTAAGACACTTATGTCCCAGCATTAAAGAACACCAATTATATCCCTTTTATGTTCTATATTTCTTTATTAAAGCTCTCCAAAAAACAAAAAATAATTATGAGACTATTAGTGATCGTCAAAGTGAAAAACCGGCATTCTGTTCTGTTTCTAAACGAATGGTGCTGGCTGTCATGTTATGTCTCGGACTAGGTGAGTACAAGGTCTAAATAAAAGTTACCGTTCTTTTTAAATTTGTCGAAATGGGAAATATAGGGCAATTTCACGCTGAAAAATGAAAAGATTGTTTATTGTTTCGTTTCATCATACAAAATAAGAACTGTCAAACTTTTTATTGCAGCCAGTGTCATGAAAAATGACATCCGCGAACATCAAGACTCAAAATGGCCTTTCAGAGTGTCGGGGCAGTCGGAGTCTGTCTGTCAAACCGAGACAGAACAGATCAGACAACCTTCGTTAAACAAGCTTAGTGGACAATTTAATTCCACATAACCATAAATGAGCAGAGAATCGCACATTTGTGATGTGCTTTTTACGCATTTGCATCACCTATCATGGATATCTTGAAAGGGTGACGTGCACAATATTTTCATTATGTTTGCAAAACTTCCTTTTCAATTTCAAGATCTGAATCGCCGGATCTGTAATTAAATGAGTGAAAGGTTACTTATTGGATCACCACGCCTCTTGAAACTTAAGGCTAAAGTTTTTAAAACAAAACTGAATATATATATATAATCATTGTGCGATCCTTTTATTATTTGGGGTGTGAAATCGGAGTTTGCACAGAAACAACCCCCAAAAGTTTATAATATGTCATTTCAGCATGTACGTATGCATTACGTGTGAATATAACAGTGGCATTATTATTGATGACAAAAAACACATCTTTTTATTACGTTAATAATTCTTCCAATGTTACTTTAACGGTAAGTTAAGGTTGAGATTATATGCGTCATGGTTTATATTTATCGTACTTTGCCGATTAATGTTTAACCCTCAAAAATGGAAATATTTTACTTCGGCCAAAATGAGTCGTTGTTCATCAGTGGACCATAAATCCATAATAAAATTCTTACTGGATTGTTTCAATAATCATTTTTGGTTAGTCCAAATGATGAATATATACACTTATTGACGACGTTTGAGACATGTTCATTCTTCGAGGTAAAATTCCTTTAGCGAATAATCGATGGTAATTGAACAATTTTCAGGTAAAAATCACTTGTATGAGTAAAATAACATTGACGTAGAATCCTTAATTTCTTATTTTCTTTTATTCTCAAGGGCTCTAATGCCGAATTTAATTGGGACTTCAGCATCCAAGGTTACATATTAGCAGCATCATATCTTGGTAACTGTTTGACACAATTACCTAGCGGTAAGATTTTAACATTTATAATCAAAATTTCAGTCCATGATCGAAAAGTAAGTCATTTAGTCTGCCACGTTTTGCGGTACATTGAAAGTAACATAATTCACGATTGGTTCTTCGAGTAGTCCAAATATAGTACATACCTCTTTACTGGTAGTTACATAACTCTTGATTGTGTTCCTTTCTGTTAATGTTTTATGCAGATTTTCATTTGTTGCCTCTTTGGTACCAGAGTTCTATCATGTAATCTTGCAAATGGATACCCTACTTTTGAGGATTCAAAGCACAAAACCGATACATGTTATTTTTTAATCAGACATAAGCACTCTATATCTACAGTTGTTCCACTTGTAACGGTCTATCTTTATTCTACAGGTTTGTTAGCAAGGAGATTTGGAGGAAAAAATGTATTTGGCGTTGGGATTCTCGTGTATTCACTTCTATCACTTCTGAATCCATTTTTGTCTCACCACAGTGTTTACCTTTTGATAATTTCAAGATTTATTCAGGGAGCTTTTGAGGTTGGATATTCCTTTGTAATTCGTTTTCCCAGCGGTATTAATGTCCAGTTATTTTTCAATGTACTCTCACTTGTTTACACCGCTAGCGGAGCCGCACAGTGTGGAAGAAAGCGATACGTTCTGGAAATTCGGCTGTATTTTTTACCGCTCGCAGCTAACAGTTGTTCAATTACAAGCATGGCAATGAAGTCACAGGAACCCACGAAGCACTCCATAGTTACTGATTGATTTAAAGACGCACTGCTTTTCTCATATGAGAACGAATTACCATTTGTACGAACCCATTGAATAATATAATCATTTTGTCTCCACTCTCTCTCACACACGCAGATTCTCCTTTCGATAGACTTCTTCATATCCTTGGTGGCTGATCCTGTTTTGTTACCCATTATTAATATTCGCTACTAAATGTTGCGTTTTAGTCCCTTAAATTAACGTAATAGTAAACTAATGCATTTCAGTATTAGAGTACGACGGTAGAAATTTATCGAAACGCATTACCATAACATTTTGTTGCATAGAGCATAGCAATATAGTGGACATGTACTTAGAACTACTTTATATATTTTAAAGACTTGTTGCTTTCGGTCTTGTCTTTTGTTTTCAATTCCATGTTGCTTTTGTTTAAGGGGTTTACTTATCCGACTGTGCTCGAAATGTGGTCCAAGTGGGCTCCTCAACAAGAAAAGACTTTTCTTGTATCAATTTCCTTTGCTGGTAGGTATTATGCTTTTATTATTCCAGGTGACTGGTAAGATTGCCCATATATTTACATGTTGCAACAGTTTTAAACATGATTTTTAATTGACTTTATCCACTGCATTCTTATAATTCATTAGAAATCAGAACGAGTGCCATTGTGGGATGTTTGCGTTTAACCCTCAAGAATAAGTCTTCCAATGAGTGTGTGGGGGAAGGGGAGCGGGGCGGATTTGAGACGCTTAACGTTTGAATTTATCAGAGTTGAAAGCGTTTTTGTGATATTTGTGTTAAAAAAACCTTGGGAATTAGCTAAAGGAATAACATCAGCGGAGATACCGTACTATTCTTGAAAGCCTCTTTCTTATACAGCTTGACGGTAGGTTCGTTTTGCCGCATTGCCCAACTTGCCGCATCCTGCCCAACTCCACAAAAAGGACTTGCTAAGTTAGGGAAATCGAAAGTATAGTTTTATTGTAAAATCTGGGATAAAATAATTACCAAGTACAAACGATCAGAACCGTAGTATAAAATACATAAATTCATAAAACGAAACAAGACAAGTGCAATGAATAAAATATTGGTCATAACTTGCAAGAGTTATGTCCCTTTACTGCGTGCCTATACCGTCACCCACGTGCTAGAAAAAATGGCAACTGAAATGTCTAAAAATGAAAATCTTCTGAATAGTAAATCAGAATTATCAAGCGAGGAGAAGTTTAATATTCTCGTATTAGATAATTCGACAGTGGCTCAACCCCCACTGTCAGGTTCCAGATAAGTCCCAGAATGTCCCGGTGGACAAGGTAGAAGCTGGATTTGATTGGCTCCACACTACCGTCGGCAGATGGGGACAAAAATAGACCAACCTGCAATTGTTTAGAAAAAATAACAGTTCAGACATCGGATGGATCCACAGGAAAATGAGTATTGCGGAATCTAAAACCGTGAGCTGTGAGGGTTATATTTTGAAAACTCTATTGTCTATTGTCATGGCGAAGGGTATGCCTCTGTAAAAAGGCACAGTACGAAAGTCTTGAAACTATAGTTTCACTTTCCCTAACAGGTCCACAGAAAATCGATGCGGGACAACAAATTGAAATATTTCGTTTCATGTGAAACAAATGGCCATTCCGGATTTATCAGAAACCTTTAGCTTCGTTTTACAAGTCGTTTTTGTGCAGTTGGGCACGATGCAGCAAGTTGGGCAATGCGGCAAAACGAACCCATTGACAGTTTGATTAAGACTTAATAAGTTATACGTCAACGATTTGATAACACTGCTTTCTGCCCGTAAATGAGCTAGAGACGATAGGCTACCTTGTGTAAGGACAGAGACGTTAGTCTACTCTTTATGCGCTTTAATTATCAAGGGATTTTTAAACTGCAGAGCCTATCACGTGCGGCACATAGTTTAATCCTAGCACTTTTCCACACCATCCCCTCAAACCTGCAATGGATGTATGACGTTTGTGATTTGTTTTGGATATGATTGTAGATGATTCAAAGTGGACTCGTTATAACGTTTAATAAACGTTTCAGGTACTGGAATAGGGAATGTTTTTGGTCTTATCTTTTCTGGTATCGTTGCAAAGTATTTAGGTTGGCAAGCAGTATTTTATCTTACTGGTGAGTAAGGTTTTGGTTACCTTTTGAATATAGTTAAGCAATGACCTTCAAATCATTTTGTTCTTGGCAGTGTTTGAAAATTCTTCATACAATAAAACAAATGGTATTTTCTGGGTCTAACAAAAAGGGCTCTATTAAAGGGCAGAAATTCTCTGTCCCTAAATATTCTTGACCCCGACACATTTATTACTGTGTGAATATGTTTCGTGTTATGTGAATATCAGAGTTGTTATTTTTATACAGGGGGTATATCTTCTCTATGGTGTATTGTATGGTTTATAATTATATCAGATACGCCAGAGAGTCACCCGAGCATTAACCATTCTGAACTATCTTATATTCAAGAAAATATTGAGCGTAACTTAAAGGTAACTTCATAAACCATAATATTAACTTGAAATGATTGCTATGGATATCCTCATATGAATAGTTCATTGCTGCTACAAATTTATTGCCAAACAGTTATTTGGATTTCGAGTTTTGCAGTTCGGATCGTTTGTACTGTTTTTAAGCACACTTCATCTAATATTGATCTCGTTCTAGAGGAAAAAGCTAACAATAGCATCATAAATACAATTACTTATTGCTTGAGGTGGGAGTTGAGACATATATTACTGCCTCTAATATGACTTAACCTTCCAGCACCACTTTTTCGATTTTGGTTCTTTCGAATCAATGTAAGCTAAGCCTTAATTCCAGATTCACTAAAGTGAGTTGTTGTGCTAACAAAACAGATACCCTTTTGGTGCACCTGATGCCACTCTGCGACTGGGCTCGTCAACCTCCGGAGTGATAACACAGAACATAACGAGTGTTTAACAAAATTTGTATTGCTTAATTATCTTAATCACTTATTCTATCATTGGCTTTTTAGCAGAGACCAATTCCATGGATAAATCTATTAACATCTCTGCCATTCTGGGCGATAGTGATCATTCACTTTAGTTGTGATTGGGGAACTATAACATGGATGACAGAACTTCCCTCTTTTATGGAAACAATTTATGCCTTTGACTATGAAATCGTGAGTTATATTTTACTTTCATGAATCGTTGCGTAACGTTTTGTTGTTTTCTACTGAGCAATTCTTTTCATATGAAAACGGATATCAGAGCTACGTACATTCAGTAATGCAGATGTCAACCCAACGTTTGGTTATTGAAATGACAAAGCGTTTCGTAACGTGTTGTTGTTTTGTTTTGTAATGTTCTATCGTGTTAATTTAGTATAAATTTGATTTTGGTAATGTGACCTTTACCTACGCGAGTTATCTCATCTTATCTTCTTGCACGAGCTCATCATGGCTGCTGCACGCCTGCAATCTCTGCGAAAAAATGAATTAGATGAAAACGATGACGAGATAACATTCCGAAATGGTTCTGAGGAAGCAATCCTTACTCCTATCGCCACAAGGGAACTCAGAAGTAATGATGATACCAATAATGGTGAGGTCAATTCTCTTCGTGAACAGTTACAAGAGTTGCGGTTTCAACGATCCAAAATGTCCCTTGAAAAGCAAATCAATAAAGAAAGGCAAGAGATTCTTATGTTGCAATCTGAATCAACACACACCTCAACTCATCCTACGGCATCTCGACTAAGCCAGCAATTACTGTCCAGTTCAACAGACAGTGACAGGGCAGAAGGTAGGAGAACAAAAGCCTGTCAAATTTATGACTTTATATGGGATGATCCCAGTTATAGAGATGATAGTGATGACTTTGTTTCCTTTCAAAAAGATGATTCACTAACTGTGAATAAGAAGAACAGGCCTAGATATGAAAACTTTCAATAGAACAATGGGGATACGCTAATTCCAAAATTATGGAACGTTTGATTAATGATGGCTCTCTTTCTACCACTATTCAAATTATGGAATACATGGAATATACAGAGTCGGTTTTTCGTTTGTTCAGTAGATATTTACAAAGTAGTGTCTTGATGTTTGATAAAGAGTATCGCGAATTGCAAAATAAACTGAAATTCAAATGGGGAACTGTGTGACAAGACTTACATAATTTCCAACTTATTGCCAAAACACCTTTTTCTGGAGAGGCATCAAAGAAAAAGTATCGCGATTCATCTTTCTCTGCAAATTCAAAAGAATTCCAAAGTAGTCATCGGGGACCAACTACTCCAACAGGGAAGGAAATTTGCATAAAATTTAATTCAGAAACTTGTGACAGAGCTAACTGTAAATTTCAGCATTGTTGTTGTTTATGCTACTTAGAACATGCAGCTATTAAACATGGTTCAAAAAACTAAATAAATTTACCGAGGGGGTTAATCAAGTGCATAATATGATTAATAGTGATTTGAATTTGGCAGCGTGGCAGGAGTTACTGCCCTTCAATGACTCATCACGCTTGTTTATTTTCGAAGGCATTCGGGATGGTTTTACTTTGATTGATACTTCTGATAATATCGAATCGGTGGAATGCGACAATTATAGATCAGCGAAACAATTTAATGATAAAGTCGAGTAGCAAATTTTAACTGAAATCCAGCATGGTAATTATATTGTAAGTTCTACAAAACCAAAAGTGCATTAGGTGCCATTCCGAAATCAAACAATAAAGTGCGTTTAATTCATGATGCTAGTAGATCCCCCGGTAAATCTTTAAATGACTATGTAGATCCAGATATAACGTCGTGCTCGTATATGGATCTCAATGTGGCCCGAGAACTTATAATCCAAGACTGTTACATTGCCAAGGTTGATCTACAAAATGCATATAGGTCTGTCAGCTTTTTTTGGTCTTCTGCGTGCCAACAATGTACTGGTTAAGAATACTTTTGACCCTGCACGGGATTTACGAAGAGTTGACGCCTTGTGTCTTTCCTGGGGACTTTTGATCAATGTTCGGTGTACCAAAACTATTCAATTCAGGGAAAGAGAGGTACAAGTATTATTGCCATATATAACTGGCCATCCACTGTGCCCCGTGACTGCCTTACAGTCATATTTTGCATTAACTCCTGCGAGTGAACCCCTTGGCCCTTTACTATGTGTTCAAGATGGCATTCCACTCAAATATTGTTACTTTATGGCCAGAATTAAAGAAATTTTGATCGCTCTTGGTAAATCAGAACTAAAGGTTAGTGGCCACTCCTTTCGCAGGGGTAGTGCTAATTGGCTCAATAAACAAGGTTTTGCTGATAAGGACATCCAAGCCTTGGGTGATTGCTTCAAAAGATACTTGGATGTTAATATCTCAAAGCAGCTTTCTCTTGTGCAACGCTTTGCTAACTCTTTATTTTAAGTTTAGTACTTCCTGGATGGATGATGACTAGCAACTTTCACTTTTTATTATTATTATTATTATTATTATTATTATTATTTCCTTTTGACTTTCCTTGCATGTGACCTTTACCTACGCGAGTTATCTAATCTTGTACTCTTGCATGAGCTCATAATGGCTGCTGCACGCCTGCAATCTCTGCGAAAAAATACCCACCCACCCACCACCTTAGTAGTATTACTAACTGGGGGCTTGAAGATGTTTTATTCACGCTTCTAATATCGTGTATTTGTTTATGTGTAAGGTTAATTATGGGGGTGGGAGTTAATTTATCATTATTTATAATTAAGTTAATTTATATTTTATCTGTATGTGTAAATGTATGTTAATGTTTTGGCTTAATTAAAGTCAGTTTCCCATTCAGTAATTGCTATCTGCCTTGCATCCTTAATGTCACCAAGCATGGTTTACTAAAATGAGGTTTCTGAAAGAAGGACAAAACTCTGGAAACTGTTTTTAGAAAAAAATTGAAAGCAGAGCTTTTCGTTCGGATCCCATGTTTTGAAGTTGGAATTAAAAAATAATTTCATGGCGTTGTCCGTTTACATACGTTCAATATGATACTGAAAATGCGACGTAAAGCTCTATTTGATTTATTCCAATTTCTTATTTATTTAAGAGTGCCTTTTTAGCTGCATTACCATCTGCGGCCTTTTCTGTCGGATCATTTACAATGGGAAAACTTGCTGATATAATTAGAACCAGGTATAATGTTTCTACAACTATTGTCCGAAAACTATTCTGTACTGGAGGTAAGACCATCAAACTGCTTTTGATATCATATTCTATCCATTACCCATGGTTCTGTGTTTCTATCCCATGACAGTTTCTTCCAAAATGTACACCATGTTTCTTGCTGTGAAGTAGGATGGTAATAAATTGATGATTAATTTTTTTTCAGGTCTTTTTCTTCAAATGGTTTGTCTCGTTGCAGGGTGTGTTTGGTTCAAACCTGAATATTCCATAGTAATTTTTGTTCTGGTTTTGAGTTTTAACGGAATGTCGTGGTCCAATATCAGTGTCAATCCTATTGATTTATCACCAGAAAATGCTGCTGTGATGATGGGTATTTCGAATTGTATTGCTAACTTTGGTGGTATGATCAGTCCCGCGTTGACTGGTATCATCTTAAATAATGTGAGTTACCACCTGTAGAACATTGGAATAAATATATAATAATATCTATGATGATCCGAGCATTGAAGAAAAACAGGTTTCAGGTTCTTCTATTTTAATATTAACAATTTGAGTTCCATTTAGAATTTAATCTCAACTATTAACGGTCATAAGACCGACTGGATTTTCAACCACAGCTAAAATCTTCCAGCAACTGACGGCATTCGACAAATCAATGACATAAAATCTCCCAGTTACGTGTACTATCAGTTGAAATCGATTGATGTTGTAATTATATTTACAAATTCTTTGAACTGGCATTAGCAAGGTTTAACACTGATGTTGATAATTTTTTGTTAAATTTGTAGAGCTCAAGGCCCATTTGGACTGCGACGAATCTAATGAAATGCTTCGAATCGCAAATTGATCTAATTTAACTTGACGTTCGATTCCTTATAAAAAGATTGGTAAAAAGGTTAAATCTGACAGTTATCATTTCTATTTTTCAGAAAGGTAGTTGGATAAATTGTTGGAAAATCATTATTTATATCAATATAGCAATCAATGTCATTGGTGGATTCATTTATATCATATTAGGTTCGGGGGAAAATCAGGATTTTGAAAAAGAACAGACCTGTGGTGAAAAACCGCAAAAAGCAAAGTAGATACATGAGTAGATATATGAAAATGGTAAATGGTTCATTTAATCGATTAAAAAAGTCAAAAAGATGATTGATATTGTGATTTCAGTAATACGGATACTTTTTTTTAAAACAAACTGTGATCAAAATTGCAAGAAATTATATTTTAACACCAAAACTCCAGAAATCGAATAATAACAAATATCACTAAAGAAGTTCATCATATTATTATCAATGTATAAGGTAAGGTATGGACCAACCTACTTTCTAGCGCTAGATGAAAATGAAACAAAAAACATTAGTGAGGTTGAGCAGAGAGATGGGTTATGAGTAAAATACCGTTTACCTAAATTTCATATAAAATACTTATACCAAATGCGTAAAAAAATGCAGATGTGTTTAAGGAAGCCTCTATGTGTCAAAGGTTTGTAACAGAGAAAAGAAAATAAAATCAGTCATAAAATGGTGCCATTCCAACCAAGCCAGTATTTCTAAATCTGAATATGTTAACAAAAGTTTTTTCCCTTTATCTAGACATTCTTTCAAAGTTCATCAACATGTAGCTTGTGAAATGAAATGAATGGAATTTTACATCCTACTTTTCTGCACCATGTGGGCTAATGAAGACGGGCAACGCCATGTAGGGTGCATTGAGATAAATTAGGTATTTTATCGACCTATGTCACTGAGCCACACTAAGAATGATTCTGACATGGGTAAATAGGTCAGACGTAGTCCCAATATAATGCGACAGATAGCATTGTTTGCGACAAACTTGTCAAATTTGTTGTCCAAGTAAAGTAATACTAATTAAATCTGCTCGATTGCATAAAAATTCAGGGTAGCGCTCAATAATAAGAAGAAGGCTGCCAAGTAGCCGCCTGAGAAGTAGTTTTGCAAGTAGTCGGTGTGAATTACTAGATTTTCAAGCTTGATGAAGTTGGTTTTCGAGATTATAAAGGACGTCAACGCATATTTTTCTCAGTTTGAACTTTTGTTTATGATTTTCTTACGTGTACATGACAATCAGGTGTGAGGAAGTCGGTAACATACATTAGATGTACTTTATTTCGCCACTGGCCACGAATTCGTCTAATGACTCCTAGATGATGCGAATGCATAGCATCAGCAATACTCTGGTAAATCGACTATCGTATAGCATTACATGAGTGAAGCACGACAATGTTGACCCTACTCGTTCCTCGAACATGTTATACGGATCGGATATCGACACACTCAGGGCCAGACATAGAATGTCGATATTTTTAGAATGCTGGAGACAATTATAAAGTCTGTGATTTATTTCAAACCATGGCTGTAAGGATTGATATCTTCGGAAATGTGAGTTTCTCATAGACGACTACGTAATTGAACCTCAGATGACAAAATATGTCGTTTATTACAAAAATATTCTGTTGACCTCGTTTGTAACATAGTTAAAAAAGAGACTTGCGTTGCCTAAGGGTACCTTCTGATATAACACGTCCCGTTTTGAAGAAACTATCCACTTACTTAAAAAAAATATCTCTGGCACAATATACTGGGTATTACCAAAAAAAAACGGTATTATCTCAGCTGTTGGTAAACAGATCTTTTTCAAAATTCTCACAGATATACTTCAAGATGTCGTTATCCAACCCTTAAAATGTGAAAGTCATCTAAAAAACATGTGCCTGAGGACGACGGGGGAAACACGTCGAAACGTTGCATAAAACTTTAACCAGCGATTGTTGTTCCATAAAGCTGTGTCTATATATCGTACTCACAATTGCTAAATGCCATTCAAAGATTCAAAATAGCACGTCAAAAACTGCAATATCAAGACAACATATCTATTTCAACCTGTGTTCACTGTGCCCTCAATCTTCTTCAGCCACCAATCGCAATCATTTTTTCCATGCCGAAATTTCAACAATACGGGGCCCCATGGCATACTAGCAAGGTATCCCAAGCATATCTGGAGGAGGCTACACAAGTTTGATAAGCCAAACCGTAATCCAGTGGATTATGCCATTTGGGATTCTCTTAAGGGAAACGTTTACCGGGGTCAGGGGAGAAACTGACTGAACAGGAACAGATACCTTTAAATGAGATCCGTAACAGCATCGGGATGAAATATAAAACCGGTTGGAGTTGGTGGTCGAAGATGGAGGGCACATTGATCACAGGTTGAGATAACTTTGGGACTTTTTTTTATATAACTCGATATAATACACGATTGTGATTGTATTTAATGGGAAAGAGCAGTTTTATTTATAAAGAGCTACATGCGACAAAGCTTTTCTTATCAGTTCTTCACCCAGCATTGGTAAAATAGCGTTAATGCATTTAATTAAATCGTCCTCTGATTCATACTCCGTCACTTCAAGTTCCCCATCGCACACTTCTAATAGAACTTTCTTGTTACAGATGATTTTGGCTTTCTTTCCTGGGAAATAAATGACCCGTAATGATTTGTGAAAGGGGGTTATATTTGGATTGGTAAAAACATTATCATAAATATCATTCAATGAGGATGCGTCTTTTGTTTCATCTTCAATTCTGAACTCGGAGAATTTTCTCCATCCATCTTTGTAAAAACTTGTTTTAGGATCAAATGTTCTGTACCCTTGATCACCCTTTCTATGCATTCTGTATATAGAACCGTTATGTTTGGTGTATCTATATTCCAGAAAGGAATGATACATTATAGGAGACTTCTCTGAAAAATCTAAGCATATAGGATTAAACGTCGGATAAGCAGAAGCTTCATCGATGAGATAAAGGTCGCCTGGCTTGACCAAGTTTCTGAATAATATTACAGTATGATTCCAGTAGTTCGAAACCTGAGCTGGAACGAGAGCAACCTCAAAGTTGAGTGCCTTGTAAAATTCGAATAGAAACATATGATGCGTAAAACACATTCCACCGCACCGCTTCTTCACATTTGCAGTGATCTCTGTCCAAGTTGGTCGGCGTCTTTTACTCTGCGGTTCAGCCAGCATGATTATGTTTTGGTACGGTTCTACCTCTCTGTAAGCATCATTGATGGTTGTAATAACCTCCAGTTTATTACGATTACTCAGCAGTTCATCTACATTTAATATTCCAAACACATCAATCATATATTTCTTTGCTTCTTCCAAAGACAGCATTTTCTGTAAATAAATAAAACATTCTGGGATTTTTCAGCTGTCAAGAGAGGCATATTGTAAAGATTGTGGGGCAATTTTGATAGCGTATGAATTGCTCACTGATGACAGTCAGTGAACAAAACTGTCCCAACGTTCTTCAAAGCTATTAGCTGCTGATCGTCAGTCCATTCACTGAAATAAGTATTGAGGTTGGAGGTGAGGTTACCGAGACCTGTTTATTCTTAAAACAAATACACATCATGCATTTTTGAATATTAATGTTTGTCGTGTTAAATAGTTCAGCAGGAAGTACTGTTATATATTCCGAGATAATGATTGAATAGTGTAATTTCGTTCTTACACACATACTATAATATTCTGTGAAATGAGGTAACATACCGTAACACACTGACACACTACATCTATTAATAGACACGATATAATATTCAAACATTTCTAAAACATAAAACACATATATTGGTAACTTACTTATATACTTACTGTTATATAGAACTGTAATATTATAGTTTCATACACAAGCTATCTACTAGATGTTGCCCTTCAATGATATTCTGTTATTTATGTCCTCATACATTACAATATGCAGTCACGTATATCCATTTCGTGTTGTAAGAACGGCTATGACACATTTTTTATTAGGTCGATATAAATAGGTCGTCTCGTAATAAAATGAGTAGGTCTTTATCTCATGCAATGTATGTATATATTATTCTGGGTTAAATTGACATTGACATGTACCTTCTAACCATTGACATGTCTGTTGTAGATCACGACAACAACCGATATTTATTTTTATTTTAAATCCTTTTAATAGACGTGCAATACTTTATAGATTCTATTGACATTGTAGACCCATCTTAAAGCTATATATTGCACAATGACTACACATACTTGGTGGTATATATTGTTTATTTCCTCAGCTTTGAATTAAAACTATTAAGATAAGTTTGGGAATAAAACGTAATAACATAGAATGGCCCATAGTCATATCTAGTAACGTTTTCAGTTGAAGACGAAACGTTATTTTTAACTGGGATCATAGGCAATGACTGAGAGATGGCCTGTAAATATGCTGATAAAAATGAATTGCAGCTATCTGTTTCACTTTTCATAATCGACATTTTACGTAAGGTTTGGTTATGATACATCCATAGCGTTATAAGGATGTTTTTCTGAAAACAAATGTTTGCTAGTCGAAAATTATGGCTATGTACATATTTTAAATTGGTAAGTTCGAGCCTAAATTTATGATTAAATTAAAGGTTGTTTCACTAGTAGGTAGCAAAAGGTGATCTGAACAACACAAAACCGACATTTAAAAAAATTGATATTGAAACGTTTTGGGAATCGCAATCAAAAAGGTATGAAATTGGGTTGTTCAAATGAACATTAACTTTACACAATAAAACTTCTTGACGATCAATTAATAAAGTTGTGTCAGTTTCAATTGTGTGGTTCCGAGAATAAACAGACATAGACAAGAACAGTAACCAATGGTGCCCAACAGTCGTTAATTTAGAGATATCTATGACGTCTGGAGTTTAAATCATTGTTATTCTTCTAATTTGAAACAAATGGCTCATGCCAAGACATTGCCATTTCTATTAGAACAAGCATCAAGTCTTTTACTCTGTGTCTGTAAGTTTTGTCATAATGTTTGCTCCAACATATTTACTATACTGATCTAGTCCAAACGATTCCACACTGACTGTAAATGTTACACCTGGATCTGCAATTATAATAACAAATTTTAATAATCTTCGTACAATCACGCCTGTCTTTTTACGATTACAAGCCTGAGTATCCTAAATCTATCCCCCAAACTACATCAGAATGCGACAATCTAATTGTATAGCGGATATGGCATTTCAACTTTCAAAATAGTTTTTCAGGAAAGGTTTCAGGATATTTGGAATATCTGGCACCTGTATAGAAAACTCACCAAAATTAACCCTGAGTCGTTTCATAATAGATTTGAACAACATTAAGAAGCGAATAGCACATATTTATCTAAAAAAATATCATATTTTGGGACATTCCAATTCTTCGTCCGATGCCTGTGGTTCCTGCAATTCCAGAAAGAGTTAACCGGAAATGACGCAGATACCGCAAGAGAATTCGTAACCAACCTACCACGAAACAACAATAACATTAATAATATATGTTACCTCCCCTTACAAGATGGTGGTACTTTTAACTAAAAATATCCGACTGCCTTCTATAACTCTTTACTACGTCTTATATTGCTTAGTTTTAACGCGTCATTTCCCATTAACTCTTTCTGGAATTGAGGGAACCACAGGCATCGGACAAAGAATTTGAATGTCTAAAGTAGAAGCAAAAGGTGTCGCCGATACACATAAAAAGGCTTGAAAACCTCTTTGCAATCCCTCTTAAGAATTTGTTATATTCCCTTGTGTTTTTGTACATACCTAAATCAAACAATATGACTGACAATTCTGAAGCCGCATCTTTATCAACTATCACTGATTCAATACCGGGATTATGATCTGACCAATATTTGATTCGGTATTTTTCTATCAGTGTATTGTCTATCGGCTGTGTCCATGTTACTGTGATCGTTGTATTTGTACTCGTCAGTACCAGATTTAATGGCGGAGAAACTTCCTGTACTCTAAATGGCGATGGAATGGTCGTTGCCGTTTTTATTTCGGTTGTTGGTGGTTGTGTACTAATTTCTTGTTTGGTTACAAATGTTAAAGATTCAATCGCAGTTGATGGCTGCATGAATTCCGAAGCGAGTGCACTCATTTCTGTGGGATTATGCGTAGATGTGTCTGTCTCTGTCTTTGTGTCTGAAAATTAAATTAGTAATGTTATTTTTAAAATGTTAATATAAACGTAATCACGTTATATATATATATAGTATTGGATATATTATGAAGATATATTGTTGTGCCTATCAAGAAATGTTTTGATTACCTGTGATAGGGATCGTGAGATTAATTTGATCTGAATATAGACCGTGGTGATTATACAGATAAATTGGTTGAACATGGAAGTAATAGGTGACGTTCTTTATTAGACCTTCCAAATGAACTGTTGTATTCTGAGTTTCTATATACTGTACCCCAAACACCATCTTTCTATCTGTACTGTATACAACTCGATATCCTAGAATAGAAAGTACATACTCAGGATTTATGGATTGCTTCCTGTTCGGCGCAATTACTTGATAAAGGACGAGGAAAATAATATTCTTCATGCTATGGAATGATGCGATTATTACTGGACAGTAAGATCTCAATTGCGGTATAAATGTGCACCAAGCTTTATGGATTAATTAAATGCAACAGGTGTAATGGTGCGGTATATAATGTTAGCAGCAACTACTCAGAAAATCAGACAGCCAATGAAACGACCTGATGTGATTCTTGTACCTTTATATGCAACTTCATATGAATTTTAAGAGCAGTGTTGACTTGGCGAGTTTCATGTCAATTTGCAAATCCGGAGAAAGAGATGTAGCTTAAGATTCTTCAGCTCTATAGGTTGCGCACGTTAAGGATCTCTCCAAAACTCCAAAGAGCCAATGCATTGAAACAGTCAGAAGAAGAAAATCGGAGAACTGACTTGATTTCCGAGAAATTCTTACCAGTAATAGTTACTGGTGGTTTAAATGGCGGTAACCAAGATAAATCAACTGTTACTGGACTAGATGGGTGTTCTTTAACTTCAAAATTTCTTGGTCTTCCGTCCGTCTCTAAATAAATAAAATTATTAAAATATCATTTTAGATTATAAAAAGTTATTTCAGAAAACATTTGACGAGATTAGGACCTTACTATCGATATTACCATACAGTTCTCCTGGAATTTTGGAAACGGTTTTTATTTTTCATGAAGGAATAAGTGTTCCCGATACACACACAAATGGTTACAAAACATCTTTTGAATCCTTACCTATCATAAATTCCAAACCTACCTTTAACTGATGTTTTAAATAGCACTTGTTTCAGAACAGAACCTAAAACAGTACTACGTACTGGCTGTATTTTGATATAATAATTTGTGTTGTAAGACAAGCCATACAATATTGCACTCGGGGTTGATGTTCTGTAGGTTATCCAACTTGAATTGTCACTGACAGTATTGGTGTAGTTAATAAGGTAACCTAAAACAATCCAAATACAACATAAATCGGTTTTGAAGGACGATTAGTATGCTCGCTAACAGTTTCTTTAGATGTATTGGGTCAGACGTTTCTTATAATACATCTATCTCATAGACTAAAACAGATTAAAGCTTTGCAATAATTATTTGTATTACTAACATATATGAACAATTTCCGGCGAAACTGATAAGAAAATGGTAAAAATGCTGCAAGATCAAATGAAAAAAGGAAATATAATATACTATCGTGTCAGATGAATAAGATGTCTTCACGCAAACCAACAGTTCTATCCAGTGATGGTCCTTTGATATCTTTGCAAATTGCTAGTGATAGTTTTGGATGTACAAGAAAAAATTTGACATTTTGTTTGATGACCCATTTTAATACAGAAGAATTAAACAAAACAAGGTTTGTCGCTTGAAATGTTATATCTTACCAATAACAGTGTCGTCAGATCCAACCCATGATATATTAATAGCTGGCAATGGATTAGTCGAAATCTCCTGTATATCAACTTGTGTTGATTTCTTCGCATGTAAGACACTTTCTGTAAGTTGAACATATTGCACAATTTGGATTTTCAAATTAAAAATTGGAACATAATATTTGGAAAGTTTGGGATTTTCAGCTTTGCACTTGGTTGAAATTATCTATTGCAAGGGCAAACGGGTGTAAGCTTTACACCATTTATGATATACCTTATCAGCAATAAATTGATAAAAAAGATATAGTGTTATACGATAAAGCACAACTATATCATTTAATATGCAACGAATTTGAGTTTAAAATCCCCAAGGCACGTGAATAAGTAATTTAAATTTGATCCTACAAATATCTCACCTTTAACTGGTGTTCTATAAAGCCCAGTTTTTGACATTGGACCAAGTATATTAGCAGCATATCTCGCTTGTACTTTAAAGAAGTACACAGTTTCATAATGTAGTCCAATAATGATGGTAGATAGGCCTCGCTCTATTTTGGTGATCCAGCTATCTTTAATATCTGGTGTGGATGTGTAACTTACTAAATACCCTGGAGAAGACAGTAAGTCCATGATAGTATGAGGGTTAGGTAAGGGTATTTTTTCCAAAACCATGGACGAGATAAGCTCCTATCAATTAAACTACCGACCGAAATTTGCGATAAAACAATTCATCGATCTCCCGCCATCCAAAGAAAATGTCCGTTACACCCAGGGGAAATAAAAATAACGTTAAGTGGTGACTGGGGATATGTCCGCATTGACCAAATACATAAAAATGCACCCATCGTGAATAAGAAAGATTTCACATAATTTTCTGACCCTTGATTGAAACCATTTAACAATAATAAATTCAAAAACACTATATGACCTACCAGTTATAGCACCCATTGTTTCTTCTGGAGCAGACCAAGATATATCTACAGTAGTCGACATATTACTATTCAGCGGTCTGATTCTTATATCTGTTGGCGCTGAACGTTCATCTCCTGCAAAAATAATATGTGCTTAATGTATAGACAAGTAAGCTTTACGCTCTTCGATCCATCTCAACATTATTGAATATGAGCATGATAGTTCCTAGAGATCATCTGATCACCCGATTCCACTCTACAAGAGGGTTTGTCAACTCGGCATTGTAGAGAGTTACACGTTAAAAGTCTATTTCTGAGACCTTTCCTTTCTTAACTCTGGGTTAACTTATAGAATCATATATAAAGCAAATGTAATTGGGCAGAAAGCTTTATGTTTTTGGATTCTGAAACAACCTTAAAATAATTATTCGGGAAGGACCAGTTTTAAGAAGTTCCTCCAAGAATCAGTATTCACACGTACACATAGACGTTTATATTACTAACCCGCAAATGATCTGAAAGCTATCATTGGTGAGAATGGTCCATTACCACCAGAGTTACCAGCTTGAATTTTAAAATAATAGTTAGTGGTGGACTCCAAACCTTCTATTGTCAATGATTTTTTACCACTTTTCAACTCTGTTTTATTCCATAATGTAATATTTAATCTGGGATCAGTGGTGTAATATAAGATGTATTCTGGAAACGAAAATTAATTGAGTAACAATCACTGTAATATTGGCTATTTCAATTATCTATTGGCTGGTTTGACAGATTGTACAAAAATCAATGACCAACTCCAATTGTTACAAAACATTTATCAAAATAAAGTATAAATCTGAATGCATCAAATAGGATTTAACAGTATTGTGTCGAGTGATATTATAAGCTTTCTGATCTATGGATGCCATGATTTTACCAAAATTTTAAAGATAAATTTGTATTACTCTTTAAAGGTTATTAAGTAAGTCAACTAACTTTCAGTCTTGGACGTATTACGTTTTAAAACGTGTTTCCAGGACACTACCACTTTAGACGGAATATATGTGGCTGTTACAGTTAGATTAGTGGGATATAAAATAGGCGGGTTCACTGGAAAGATAAAAACTAGTATTAAAGATCCTATATCATAATTATTTTTCTTAATAAATGGAATAAGGAAATGAAAAGTCTTGGAATAATATATCAAACTTAGCTTTCAGTTATAATCCTTCACTGATCATACTGGCAGTTAATCTGCTGATCCCTCAGGCTTAATTCAAAACTGTTGACCTGTTACTTATTGAACATGTTTTAAATTGACTTACAGAGGGGTCTTTAAAATGCAGGAGAGCATACTTACAGTACATTTTATTCACTTACTGAAGGTAGTATTTGATTCTGGTAAACTCCATGTACTGTGTTCGTCATTTCTCACAACCCGGATAGCAAACTCGTATTGAGTGTCAACATCTAAATCTTTCAGTATGACTGGAGGTTTGCTGACATTAAGGTATGTATACTCAGTTTGATAAGCACTAGAATATCGCAAAGTATATAATCTCCTATCTCGCCTTTTAAATTTGTTAAGAGCTGGATCTATCCAATAAATTCCAATCGAAGTAGTAGATAATGTTAATGCTTTGATCATTTGTGGTGGTTCCAATTTAACTGGAACTGTAAAATACAGCAGATCATTTCAATATATCTTTAATAATATGTTTCTGTTGAATGCTTTGACGTTCCAAGTGTTGTCTCTGTACCACGCACAATATAAAACGCCACTATCACATAAGTCGTATGCCAATAATCATATTTTTTTGGAAGGACAGAAGTACTAAAACCCCCATACAGATACAAAGACTCAAAAAACGTCTTTTGGATCTCAGAGAAATGAGAGAAGCAAGGACTGTGTACTCACAATCTTTAGTTTTAATGAAGTCATAAGTTGCAGCACTTTCACCAAATTTATTAAAAGCTCGTACACTGATGATGTATTCCGTATTTTCACCTGAAATTTAAACACCATCAATCAGACGCTATTTCATGCAGTTTTCTTTTCCATTAGTTTTATATTAAACATTTATGGGAAGGTATGGAACTCTATACGTATGTTAGATGTAGTGTAGATAATATTCAAAAGGAATAAAAAGCTTATGACAGATTTTTTGGCCGTTACAGCAACATTCTCATCTACCACAAAGTTACATTACATTACATCTGATGACGACACGTGTATATTGTGTTGATACGTTATGTGCCCAACCTTATTAAAGAAGTGTGTTATATTCCATAATATTGTCTTGTGTTTTTGTTATATGTGCTCCTCGCTTCTATATGTCGTTCAAATCTTATACCACAAAGTCACATTGATATTTGATTTGATAGAACCCAATTCCAACAATCATCAGTATTTTAGAATTATTTGCGACTACAAATATCAGAATTCATAAAAAAATATACATATCTGCAATGAGTACACAGAGGTCTGGGGTTTGTGTTTGCTTTAATCGCCTCAGAAAACGGAAGGAATTAAAATACTCACGTAATTGCCTGATAACATATGATAATTGGATATCGGTAAGGATCTTTCTGTTCACCTCTGGTATATAACGTCCATATCCTATTATATAGCCGTCTAAAGGTGCACCAGTATATCTAGGTTGTGTCCAGTTCATATAAATAGATTTCTCTGTACTGGTTAGTGTTAATGCTGATGGTCGTTCTGGTGGTAACTTTTCTGTAAATAGATAATGAAATGTATTCTAAGTCTCGAGTCTGGAACTTGTGGCCTTTCTCTACAATACACCATTCTCTTTTTTGAGCCAATTATCCATTTAAACAGTGGCGACGCTAGGTGTGATACAATGGGTTGGGTGCACCTCAAATTGTAGCCTCACTTTATTTTTGACAAATTTCAAAATATGATTTTGTAACGCTTTTGCACTAAAGGAAGTCAATATTTTGCAAATTCGCTCTGTCAAAGGCTTGAATCCTCCACAAAGTTGCCGCATTTGAATTTAGCCTCGGTTGATGTCTCTATGGTCAGTCTGCTCCATATTTGTATCCCTAGTCTCGGGAACCTGATGGCACCACTGCATTTAAGCCATTATACTTCTTTATTTTTCGAACGTTTCTGTAATTGTTTAGACAACAGATATTATAAATTCGGACGGTGACACGTTCCTTGTATCTGTTTGAAAGCCGGGAACCATTTCAAACAATTACTTTCTTGAAATCATATGGATAAATCAAAATTGGAAGACATTCGGTCAAAGCCACGGTCCTTGAAAGAGTCCCTTTCTTTCACATTCTATACATTTGCCCATTACAATGAGTCCAAATTAAAAACAGAAATGACTTAATATAGCCATGTTAAGTGTCTTACCAACTTCTTTGGTTTTTCCTGTGTGCCATCGTGAATATGGCCCTGTACCCCTGATGGTCATTGCTGCTACTCTAGCTTTGTATTCCATACTTGGTTCCAGTCCTTAAAAAAGATGATGACTTAGGCATCCTTTAAATCTTATAGGTTACTAATATTTCTTCGATTTCATCAAGCACTTTATTCATTTGTAATTGTTACTACAATAAGTACTTTGGTATCCTTTCGTATACAGAACACCTTCGATGTAACGTTATGCAATCGAGTTTGACGATTTGGAATTTGGCATCGCTTTCGGTGAGCATACAGAGCACGGAACTTTTTTCTCGTCGATAAATTATCGTTAATTATCTATTTCTGTAAGCTATTTAGTATAGATTCCTTTAAATGGAAATGTCTAGTATGAATTGATAAGTAATGGAAGATGAAAATGGCACAGTTGTGGATCCACCTCAGAAATGTTTTTGTACTTGATGAAATTATGCCATTTAAAATATGATTTATCGAACTTACCATAAAATGTATAGTTTTTGTGATTATTGTCAACAGTAAATATCGCCAATGGCTTATTAGAATGAACTCGTTTAAATACCAGTTTATATCCAGTAATACGCCCATTCTGTAAAGCTTTTGGCGGTGACTCCCATCTTATTAGCACAGCCTATAAAAGTTAGACAATGCCTGACAACAATTCAATATATATTCAATTTCTATTGTTTTTAATAAAAAAGAAACAATCTCCAAACGTAAAGAGACATCAGGTGGTCAGAATAGTAATCTTGATACGCCTCGGTAACACTTCTTAATCAATATCTCAATAAAAACTCGATGTTTGTCCGAAGAAATTAAATGAAAGGTCTCAGGTATTAGCATCAACTTACAGAAGCATTCAAAGCCTTTATCCTAATGTTTCTTGGTGGCGCGTCTGGAACATCTGATTTAGTTCTGGCAAATAAAACAATGCTTTCTCCAATCTCTCCATCGTGGTAGGGAATAATCTCAAACTTATACTCGCGAAATTTCCTTAAATCATCGGCTGTTAAGTTGGTTTGTGGTGCTTTAATCCATTGGGATTGTTTGTCATTTTTATACGGCCTCCAATATCGGACATGGTAATCTGTGACTTGTCCTTTAGTCGGCGTTAACCACGATACCAATATTTTGGTTGAAGACAATGGGTTTGCTGAAGCACTTTGAACAGGACCTGGTCGTGTGGCTAGAAAGAAATTCATGATTGTAAATACACTACAATACAATGAAAAATTACCGCAACAAAACTCTGATCAGTACATTAATCAGATGGGATGAACTGAAATATCACAGTTAAAAAATTAGGTTAATATCCTTTGACAAGGAAATGTTGCAAAAGAAGTCGAAAACAAAAACTGCCACCAACCTTTAGTTGTTGTTCTGAGATATATAGGAGAACTTTCACCATTATCATTAAACGACCGTAGTGATATAATATAGGCTGTACCAGGAACTGCAAATATAATTGTGAGAAATGTGATAAGGAAATACTTTTGCAAAATTTACTTAAAAAAAAATAATCAAGATTATGGCTTTATTTAAAACTTACTCATAAAAATGTTCCTTAAGCTAAAACAAACATGAAAAATTGGTGATTCCTGTGGCGAGCACCTTTTCCATCCTACGCCCACATCTATACAGATAAGGAAGCGCTTGCGCTACATACAATCATTATATACATACGTAGTTGAGTAATAGTTATTCTGGTCGCCTCTTTTGATACTCGGATCTTTTTAATCTTGGCTGTCATGTCATCTTTGGGACCGTAAGCGATTCTGTATCCTTTCAAGTTCTTTAAAAGTTGTCCTTCATCATCCACCGGAGAGTCCCAGGTTATTCGAACTTTCTGTGATGCTGGTGTGATTAGGACATTAGTCGGCTCCGCGGGAGGAAGAGAATCTATATCAGACAAAATGGACAGTTAAAACTCAAATTTGTGAGAATATCATAAGGATATGTAAATGTTATAGCAAATATCAGTGATGCAATTTTAAATATAGCAAATCAATACTGGTTACAGTGATTATACTTTGACAACCTCGAATGGCTTCAGGAGTTTCTAGAAGGTTCATTCCGTATTTCACTTTCTAAACGAGAACGTAGACTATTTTTCATGGAGTTTATGTGACTTGATAAATTAATAGCGACTCGATCAATCAGTACTTTAAAGGACTTAACTTAAAGGGACATGTTTTATTTTGAGTCTTGAATATAATATAGTGTAAATAGACTTTAGAAGTACAAGAAATGTACGAAAGTAACACAATTCTTTCTAAACGATTTCAAACTAAGAACTTTATTTTCCTATTTTATAGATGTCTTTTCTATATGATTTATGTCTCGAGATAAAAGACTCGACTTTTTAACTTTCAAATGCGGATAATTCTAGAGACACTGATTTGTAGGCTCAAATTTCGATGTTGAGCTGTGAACACTGCTACTGATTGGCTTAGCTAAAAACTTCCCGTTTCTGAGACTAGGGTACAATTGGTCAAAAAAAAAACTAGTGCATCTGTCCCTTTATTCATTGGCAATAACTGCCTCTGGCCTTGAACACAATACCATTTCCATCAATATGTACATTTTTGTAAACCTTTTCATTTAAAAAAAGACTTCGAAAATCATTATCTCGTTAAACTGAGATTACTGTGTAAGAGAAAATCAATAAGATGTTTTTTAAATAGAAGCATTTGGCGATAGATCTTTTCTTTCTATTGGTTAGCGTTAAGGATGTTCTTTACCTTTTCCATTTTTCTTAATTTCAATCCAAGATGATGGTGCTTCATCTCCCCAGGTCATTAGTGTAGATATGCGTAAATGATAAATATCTTCATTTCCCAAACCTAAAAACAAACAGCCCCACGTTCAAACTTGGCTAATATGTTTTTTGATGGTTAGTTGTGAATACCAGTTTATGAAAATATCATAACAGATTGAATGATATATGGACGGAATTAACAACGTTAGCTATTTTGACGCAAGTGAAGCCCAGTTTACAAATCTAGCCGCATAGTGGCTTTAGATAATTGAAATGGAGCTCTTTCAGTGCGGAACTCAAATATGGAGTTGATTGTATCCCTTTCGCTCTAGGACTGATTCAAACGAACTTTTGTATTCCGCTACATGTCGGTTTAGAGCACGGTTTGACTACAACCAGCTACTCAGTCTGCATGAAAAACGGAACTACTAGATACTTAGAAATACAATTCATACCAACAAGGAACTGTTTATTCCTATTTCCCTCAGTAAATAATTTCTCAGCTTTACTACCATTCTGTTTTCTGTAGTAAATATTATATCCTTTGATATATATAATATCCATAGCGCTTGGTGCCTCCCAATTTAATCGTATTATCTGAAAATACGAAATAAAAAAATTGTTTTTTCAATACACACTATCAAACTCTGACACATGAACTCATTTCACTTTACAGTTTGATTTTTTGTCTGCAACATCTGTTTAGTATTAAACCAGGGTGATTAAAAAAAGCTTCCTCTCTGAGAAAATATGACAACATATTGAACATTTCCAGTCTACCAAATTGTGCATATTTCAAAACGCAATCTTACTCGCCGTAGATAAGTAGACCACTTAATTTTGCATTCCTTTGTATTCTATGTAGATAACTATTGTATAGTGTCTGTGAGGTAATTCAGTGCCCTTACCTCCATCTCAAAAAATAAACCATTCTTCCCATGTATTTCAGTTCTTACTTAAAATACAAAATATTACATACCGAGCTATTAATCGCAACAGCTGAAACATTAGCTGGTTGGAGTTTCTTATTAGTAAGTGTTTTAACTTCTGTTCTACTAGCATTGCCATATCGTTTGTTAAAAGCTAACACTTTGATCTTGTACATTTTATTTGGAGTAAGGTCGTTGATGTGACAGAGCTGCTCGACTGTTTCTATGGACTCCTCTACTCTTGAGTCTTTCTGGCGGTAGATTACTTTATAGGATGTAATATTGTAGTCATAATCTGGTCGATCCCATGCAACCTGTACTACGGATGGTGATATGGGAAATGTTCGTAGATTCTCCACTGGAGGCGGTGGGGGAACTAAAAGAAACACGACGTACAATGAAACATTTAATTTCCATCTTCACTGTGTAAAATACATCGTCTACTTGAACAACGAGAGTCAATATTTATTTGGGCAAATTTTATGTGCACATTCTGTGGCATGATGGCCGAGATACCAGCTACACTCAGTCAAAAGGGAGAGATGTGTTTGACCAGTTCTCCAATGGTGACAAGGGGTTACTGAAATTCATCATCTAGCGGTCTTCGCTGTTAAAATGTCAAAATGTCGAGCTTACCTTTTATCTGAAGATCTGCTTTCCGTCTTGAAAAATTTACTTCATTCTGGGCAAGACATTCATAATGCCCCCCATCTGCCATGGAAATATTATCCAACTGCAATATGCTATATATCATTTGTATTTTACCAATGTGATCATATTCCGATTCAGTTTCGATCCATTCAAATATTTTCTGTAATGAAGGAGGTTCATATGATTAATTCAACATTAGGTAAAGGTGTCAGTGATCTCAACTATTTCCAATATACAGTTGAATTGAAAAGGTGCAGATCAAAACTATGACATGGACTATTACCACGGCACAGCACTTGAAGTTTGAAGTAGGCTCAACATAATAAGGGTATTCAAAAGAGGTTTTCTGACTTCCGTGTGTTGTGTATCGGAAACACTTATAGACTTCGTGTGTGTATCTGATACACTTATTGCAATCATTCGTATTTCCCAAATGACTGGACCAGATCATTGCATAATAACATTGATAACGTACTGCTCGATCATCAGTAGCAGCATCAATACCATTAGGAGTTAACCATGTAAGGCTGGGTAGAGGTACACCACTAGCTCCACATGTCAGGTTCACTGACGATTTGATCATAGCAGTATCACCTTCTACTTTGACAAATCTCACGGGAACTAGAACAAAAAAAATCAGGCATCATTTATCAATATACTTTCTATGGTTGCGGTCGAATATTTAGAACATCCAGTCTATGAAAATGTCATGTCAGTCTTACTTCGTGCGGAACAGCT